TGTAGGGCGTGTGTATAAGCCCTCCTAGAGTCCCCCAGTGGCACCGTTTATTATATAGTGTAGGGCGTCTGTATAAGCCCTTCTAGAGCCTCCCCCCCCCCCCATCCAGTGGCATAACGACAATTTTGCGGACTTATAACGCTAGAATTCGAGTTTCGATACCCGTGGTGGGCACAGCACAGATAGCCCATTGTGTAGCTTTGCGCTTAACAACAAGCAAACAAAGAGGCTTTCCTCTTTACCTTATGGCTATAAAAGGGAGATAATTCGCCTTTCTATTTCGTATTCGTGCTATTTGTATTAAAGTTTAAAAACACACTATCTTGGTTCCGTCTTAAACAGCTATTTCTGGGGTTCAACCTTGAAATTTCAGTATAAGAAGATACCATTAGGTATTTGCTGCTCTGACAAATTCTGGAGCTGTGGGGGTTGTTGTGTTGCTGAAGTTACTGCTAGTGGTCATATTTTCCTTAAAGATTAACTCTAAAGTTTTAAAAATATCCATCAAGCTTTCTTTGAATAACTTGAGGTCTCATCCAGATCTGCTTTTATTTGAATAAAATATCACAAACCTGCAAGATAGGACAATGTAGATATGTTTATTTTAAAATACTTCAATGAATTATTGGGTTAGGTTGACGAGCAACCAGAATATATCAACTAGAATGCTGATAATCAGTTACTGGATTAGGTTCACGAACAACCACAATGTGTTTTTGTTTATTTTGAATTTTCGCGCAAAGCTACACGAGGACAAACAATCATAATACATCAACTAGAAGTTGATAAAAGTGTAAAAGAAGCTAATTTTTTTGCATTATTTAATCCAAAGTTTGAATATGATGCTATTAATTCATAACCAGATACAACACCATAAATTTGGTGCTTTAGATATCAGTTTTTTTTTAATTTTTTATTATGTCGACTACTAAAAAGACTAGCTGCCTTCCCTTTAGTCTATCACTGCTAAGTTAGGAACGTGTAGGTTTGCGCGAAATTCAAAGAAATCAAAAGGAGAATTATGAACAAATAAAAGCAACGTTCAGCTAATCATTTAACATTATTATGTTTTGTTTCTACATGATATTTTAAGATATATAAAAGATGCACGAACAAATTATAACATGGTTACTGAATAACACAGTTTAGAAGATACACGAGATCGCGTTATTTAGTGTATAGTACTTTATTGTTTCAGTGATTCTTAAATATACTTAAAGAAACGGCGTTTACCCTTTTGTTTATCGCATAAA